ATACTATATAAATAAATATAAAATAAAAAATATTTTTGTAAATAAAATTATAAAATATACATTAAATAAAGATTTTTCATTTATTATATATAGTGTATTCGATTCAAATCAGTTATTATTATAGATTCGAACCAGTCAATTTGAATCAAATCAAATCGTTCAAATCAAATTATATATTCGAATCAGTTCGAATTGTATCAAATTATATATTCGAATCCGTTCGAATCAAATTATATATTCGAAATCTGTTCGAATCGGTTCGAATTTCATTGGTTCGTTCGGAGCCTTATTTATACATATGTAAACTCGATAAATCGGCCACGTCGGGGCGGACCCTGTGATCTACTTATCGAGAGAACCGAGTTATCGAGTTTCACGTGATTTTTTAAATTTAAAATTTTTTTATCTTTTATCTCAAACACTAGAAGGTTCCGAAATCAACCTTTTTATACATATTCTTGAACATAATAAATTTTAACAGGAATACAAATGTATTCTTCACTTGTATAATCAATGATATAAGTGATGATATAAAAATTAGATTAAAAATATAGATGTATTGTTCGCAATTAGACAAGAATGTTCTTTAAATTATTGAATGATACAATCAATGATACAACTGCTGATATAATAAAATATTAATGCATTATTCATGATAAATCATCAAATGATTAAAATGAAAAAAGTTCTTTTTTAAAATTACTTAAGAAAAAATGGTAAAGAATGCGTGATTATGCATTATAAATGATGAAAGTAATAAAATATAAATGTAGTTCACAAGTGAGAATGATTTCTTCCTTCCAAATTATAAAAAATGAACAGATATTTTATTACAAATAATCATTTTGCTAATGAATTAAATCATACATTACTAAAATAGTATTAGTATTCACATAATAAAACATCACGTGATACCGGATTATCGTGATTCATTTATAATTGGGCCAAGCTATTGACTGACTTAGCACTTATCGCAACTCATATAGATTGACCGACTTATCAAAAAAATTTTAAATAGTAAAAAAAAGGCGAATTCAATGTCCGATTTTTTTGCATAGCAGAATCAAACTGGAAATAGTCGAATCTTTCTTTAATTGTTTCGCTAATACTTTGTGATATTGATTGTTGATAATTTACAAATGTTATTTTCAAATATGTATTTATTTAGTGGCAAGTATTATGCGTGTTACATACATACTATTATTAAAAGCCGTTAGATTGTTGAGGTAGATTATGTGAAAATTTAAAGAATCTATTAACAAAGTATTGATTCTGAAAATTTTCTAATCCTCTTATTAATAGCATAATAATATCGCCAAGAGCATAGTGGACATTCGTTTTATCATTTGTGACAAAATCGATCGTTGATCTTTTTTATATTGTGAAACTTGCTATTTCAATTGAATTTAGAATAGAAAAAAATCGCGTGAATGCGCACAAAACCCATTTTATGGAAAATCTTTTTTTTTTATATTAATATATCGCTTTGACTTTTTTTTATATTTTGGTAAAACTCAATCAATTTGATCAATTTGATTTCAACAAGTTACCTTAGAAGTAAAAGTTTAAGGCTTCTGTGATCTTGTCTGTCAGAATTGTGTCATTATTATTTATTATTATTGTTTATTTTATTTTTTTTTTAAAATATGAATGATAACATTTTACTTTATTAATAAGTCATTATTATACTTGCAGGTAAAGACTTATTCTATATTCTTATTATTATTATACTTTAAAGAAATAAGTATTTATTTTATATATTTGATTAACTTATAACTTATATTCAACTTTTTCCAATAGTACAAAGATCATATAATAGGTTGTATCTTGATTTTTTTATGATGCATTTAAAAAACATGAAGGATTTTTAAACAACAATAACAGATATACTCAGGGTGTAATTATAAAGTGATGTATATAATTTAAAAAACGTATTTCTTTTATATTTATATTTATCCTTTAAAGGAAATGAAATTTATCCCACCAAACGGAAAAATTACTATTTAAAACCATTTTTTTTTTTTTTTTTTTAAATAGAAAAAGGCATTTTTTATACATATCATCATTCATAATCAATTATTTTTTCTTTGGAAAATAAATAATGCACAAAAACATGTATTCAAAAAAAATTTGTTTTTTTTTGAAATTCACAATTAGAAAAGGTTGTTATCCTGCGATATCTGGTCTAAAACCGCGAAGATACTTGTTCTAATAAACAAGGTTACCTAGGGAGAAAAAACAATTTAGAATACAGATATTTGCACTAAAAATTTCTTCCAAATTTGGACAAAATCCTTTAAATATTACAAAATTAATTATTATTACTGTGATATTCTAGAAAATAATTTCTTTTTGAGTTTAAACGTAAAGCAACATCACATAGAGTACAAAATACACGTGAACAATTATCATTAGTTGTAGCATTTATTCCTTCTTCTTGCCTTTGATATTTACAATACTCACATACAATCCTATTTTCTCTATATTCAGGAAAACAATTTCCTGACGTTGGTCTTTGTGATCCACTATAATAGTATTTTAAATCATACCATTTGAAATCTTGGATCAGGCAATATTTAAAAAAAATCATACAATACCAAATAACGTGATTAGTGGAGTTTGTACTACATGAATAAAATACAATATTATTATTATTATTATTATAATTTTGAGATTATGATATATATATGATATATATAGTATCATTTTTATAGTTTGTATAGTGCCAATAATAAATAAAATAATTCTTCGCATCGTATACTTTTTGTATTTAATCTAAGTCAACTGTTGAGTTTTTTTTTTGGAATTTTGAAAACCTCTCACTTGTTTATTATTATAAAGAGACAATGTTAAAAAAAATCTCCAAATTTCTGTTTTTCCTGACTTGTTTATTCCCTGTCGTATCAGCAAGATTACCACTTTCTGATATGTTTAATTTCGAAATAAATAAATACATTCCCTACGTAGTTGTCACCGTAATTCTTTTAATTGCACTTATTCCGATAAATCAATTTAAAAATCTCAGAATGATAATAGCTACAATTTTGGGAATATTCACAATATTTATTTTTCCACCTCTATTCCTTTATATGACACAAGGCTTCACCAAGCTCACAATAGTTGATATAGCCTTCAGTTGTTCAATATTCACATGTAATATAATCTTATTTTCAATTGTTGGTAGTGGATCAGCAACAGCCTATATAACCTTTGTAATGTTCACAGCATTAGTCTTTATAATTTTTCTACCTTTGCTCTTTTATGCGGCAGAAAGTTTCAACAGTGTTACAATACCCCTTTTAATTTTATTGGAAATCTTCATTTTTACTACAGTAGCAATTCTCCTTATGCTTGAATCAAATAATGATACGTGCATCTATTTTATTCTCACAATATATATTTTATTAGTTTTATCAATTTATATTTATTGTTTAGTAATTGCGATAAAAAAAAAAAGCTACGCATATACTACAGTTTTAGTTGTTGATTTAGTATTAGGGTGTTGTCTTGGTGGTTTAAAGGGTACAATATTTGGAGCTATAATAGGTGAAATTTTAACTGGGTTTAATTTCTATGTTTTATTTTATTCGTTACAAGAGGAGGTCAACCAAGTTTCGCTTTTACTTTTCTGGGCAGATTTGTGGGCTACATTATTTGTTATTTATACTACCATTGAACGATACATCAAAAGAGGAGAATTTGTAGAGCGAAAAGTAGAATTTAGTCTTCAGAATTACATCTAAGAAGTACATTATTTATTATATTATATTATTGGGAAATTCTATTTGAAATTTTGTTATTGGAATTATTTATTATAATGTAATTTCTTCTTTAGCTTATTTTACGAGTGCGATTTTATTTATTTACATATAGTGTGTTGCAAAAAAAAACCGGGATTATATATTTGGTTATTACAACAAAACGGTCATCCCAAATGATGCAAAAAATATCTCTTTTAAAAGCCTAAAAAATGTAGTTTTTATTAATAAAAAATTAATATGGTATACGTTCTCCATTATTTTGTATAATAAGCTTACATCGGCATCGTATAGAATTTACTAAATTAATTAGGACATTATGTGGAATACTTTGCCATTAATTAATCATAAATCGGTTCTAATTCTTCACAATTTTGTGGCATCCTTTTCTCAACGTTTCTTTTAACAACGCTCCACAGATTTTCTATCGGATTCAAAGCTGGGCTGTTCGAAAGCCAGTCTATAACATTTGATACATTTTCTGCAAGAAAAGACGTTGCAAGACGACTTGTATGTTTAGGGTCATTGTCTTGCTGAAATCTCCATTCATCCCCAAGCATTTTTTCTATTTCTGAAACGTGTCTGTTAAGTATTTCCACACAAAACAACGCATCCATAATTTGTTTAAAACAAAAAAGGCTTGTTTTGCCTTCTACATAAAAACCATCCCACGCGTGAATTTTAGTACGATCCTTTGGCATCCTTCGAACTGGCCTTTTATCCTTATACCAACGTTCTATAGTATTTCTAAATAATAAAAAGGATGTCTCATCGGTAAATAATGTTTTATTCCAATCGTCATTAAGATGTCATTGGGCCCATTGTACACGGTTTTCTTTATGAGACATTGTCAACATTGGTGTAGCCATTTACAGGGCTTTTTTATACCCTTTTTCGTGTATATGTCTAGAGATAGTTGGATAAGATACTTGCACATGATTTACCGATAATTTTATTGCCAATTTTCTAGTCGAAATTGATGAATCTCTGCGTATATATTGCCCCAAAACTTTCGATGCTTCCGCAGTATTTTTTTTTTTGGCGGCCATTTCCTCTAACGTGATCCAAATTGCCAGTTGTTTTTAATTTTTTTATGTTATCATAGACGGTAGAAAGAGGAACTTTTGTACGCTTATTTATTTCTTTGTGCTCACATACACCGTTATTCCACAAATGTAATATTAATATAGCTTGACGTCGGGTTTCTTGTCTTGAAGTAGACATTATATACTTAATTTTCTCAAAAAGCAAAAAAGATTATCAATTATAAAAAATCTCAATATTTATTTTTGAAATATGAGTTCGTCTTGATTTTTATACGGCACGAATTTGGCTAAATTTTATGCGGACTCTCGTTGAATAATAATCTAGAAAAACATGGCGGAGCTTTATTAACTGGTCATATAACTTCTAAATTACAGGATTACGCAATATGAGAATGTCATTTTTTTTGTATTTAATATATAGCATAATATTATATACAAATACAATATTTTTTCCCTAATAGCTATTATTGATATCTCATTTAATCCAAAAGAATTGATAATAAACATAACCGATTAATATTATGTATGTTCTCTGATTATAATTAAATTATTCACTTTACCCATTGAATATGTTACACATAAAAATCAGAACAATATTCCCGATAGCCCATAAAACAATAAATATATAAATTTAGTATATACATCATGATAAAGTTATGTAGATTATTCTAAAATTGATTTCCATCTAGGGCAATATCCTTGACTGTATAAGTACTAATCATGTAAGTGGGTTTTTTAACCCATCTGTCTGAACGATTTTGAGTTAAGACCATTTCTATATAGACAAAGTGAACAATTGTCACTATGGTGCACGTTATCAACGTCAAATGATCACCTGATTTAAACACATAATTTTTTTTTTGATATATAAATTTCGACTAAAATTCTTTTCATAAAACGTAAGTTATCGCTGATAAGTTTCCTTAGTTTGTGTTACTACCAGTAAAGATAAAAAATTTTTGTTAGCGAATTAGAATTAATTAAATGTAAATGATCGATATATAAGATTTCGGGACTATTGATATTTATAAATGAAGTGAAGCCAAATAAATTATTGACCACTAAAAATAGTGTAAATTTGCACCCAATCCAAGGACTGATTGACATGAGATGAATTATTAATATTTTTCACTCATTAAGAATTATTCTCTGTTGCCTTTTTTTTAATGATAATTTTCACTATTCCAACAAATAACATTTCCTTTATGCTTTCATTTTTGTAGTCATTTATTTGATGAAAGATTAATCAAATTAGTTCAATTCAATATTCGAAATTTCCAAAATTTGTGTCTTCTGGTATATTGCACATTCTCTCTATAACGGTTTTTTCTATACCAGTTTTCACTCTATAACGAACTGAGAATTTATTATCACTAATACTACCATTATTACCATTGCCATTGCTATCATTATTACCATTAGTAGTAGAAACATTACCATTATTACTATTATATTATCTCGCAGTGTGTACGGTATTTGCATTTATATATTGAACTTTTGTTGTGCCGTCACGGAATAACACTGCAGAGAATTTGATTTGATGTCTGATCATCCATTACGTGATAAGCCATTAATCTTATTATTAACCTTTTACCTTTTACTTTCTATTTTATGTATATGACGAAATGGAAAATCGCTAAATTATAACAGAGCCAAAGTTCAAAGTATTGTTTGTTTTTTTTCCAACAAAATCTCCGCCGCTAATAGAAATTCTATTTTCAAGGTTCAACAAGATTATATATCAATATGATTATAAGCCAATTTTAAAATTCGTCTTATAATGATAAAATCCTACCTTACTATTACTATTATAATAATAATTAAAGTATAATTGAATATTTTCGCGATTCACAAAAGTTCGGTTTGACTGTATAAAATGTGGGTTTTTTCTAAAGAATCAGAATTCTTGTCATCATAAATCAAATAATAATAAATAATAACGTCAGACACAGAAGAAATCTTCAATCAAAATTTTCAAGAGGAAGAGGGAGAAAATACAGAAGTAGTAATTAATATTTTAAAGGTTTGTCTTTTATATATAGGTTATATTGAAAAGAAGTCATTTATCATGTAAATATAAATATATTTTCTGGTTTACACTTTAAAAAAGAAAAAAGTAAATAAATTAAAAGTTTAAAGATGATGACAAAATGACAAAGAGAAAGAGAAAAGTCCAGAAAATAAAAAAGGGCTGTTTCTTGATAATTGTATTATGTGATCTTTGATTATTTTAAATTTATAATATATTTATACATAAGGCTCCGAATGAATCGAATCAAATCGAATTTGAGAGTGATTCGATACGATTCGATTCGATCTGTAGTCAATTCGATTCGATTCGAATTCAAAAAACAGGATTCGATTCGAATCAAACCGGATTCCTAAAATTTATTTAACGTCATATTAAATTTATATTTTTAATTTGATAATTTAAATTTATATTAAAACAGTGAATTTCAATTAGTGTGCTTCCATTTAATGAATACTAATGAATTGAGGTCTAAGAATGGTTTAATGATAATAATAATAAAATTCTTCTTGATATGATATTTATTCGAATTTTTAATAATAACGGATTTCTTGATATTAATATTAATATTAATGGTCGTGTGACCTATATCATTAATAATAGTCGAACGATTTGTCACATTAAACGATTGGGAAGTGTATTTTCCGAAATTTTTTGGTGATCAACGTCGAAATTCTATTAATAAAATTAGCCACAAACCTTAATTTTAACCCTTTTTTGCTCAGCAATCTCCACCAAACACAGATTTTTAAGACTTATTCCTTCTTTTAAAAAAAAATTAGGAGAGATTATTAACAAAATAGTAAAAAATCTTGGTGTTAAAGTTTGTCGACCAAATTACCACATTTGGAAATAAATTATCTATTTTTGGTCATTATTCCTGATAATCTCCTGATAATTTCCTGCCTACATTTTTTCCTTTTTGTGTATTGATAAATAAATTTATCAAAATTTAATATGTTTTTTGGAGTTTTTTGCCATTTTCACTAAACTTTAATAAACAACAATCCACATAAAGCTATACCTATATGAAAGCTTACAATATTTTACATCTTTTCAACCACTCACCAAGTTTATAATAAAAAGTAATGCTGTTTTTGAATAAACATAGCTTAACATAGAGAGCCTCTATCAATATGGGAGAGGGCTCATTAGAAAGCTATAATGACATAGTTTTATTTTTGGTTAATAATGATGTTTGTATTTGTTATAAAAATAATGAGATATTTTAAAAAACTGATTTGTTACACGAGTCGGATTTTCTATTTTATATATGTAATTACACTTCCTGTGACATATCGTTTGACTGCTATATCAAAAAATTTTACCAAAAATTCGTTGTTCGTTGTAACAAAATTCTATTAATAAATTCGATGTAACAAGAGTTTTTTATTATTAAAAAAAATTTTTTTCAAAATTCGTTATGACAAGGTTCAACTGTATGACTTTTTATATGTGTGGTTAACTATGTTTGTGTTTATTGAAATTTGTAACACCCCAGGACTAGGTGTCCTGCGCCATATTAATATAACATTCACTCATTCGTCAATTAGAATGGAGGCCGTTATAGAGGGGGCCGTTATAGAGAGAGTGAACTGTATTTATTTAAATACTTATTTTATCACGAGTATAATCTACAAATAAAGAAATAATTATAACGCACTGTAAATCAGAAACCAAATTTTCACTATATAAAAACCTTACTCTATAACGGTTTTCTTAATTAAATTTCCTATAGCGTATAACGGCCAGCCTCTGAAAATTCTCTCATATGTTTTATATGTTGCCTATAACGGCCGACGATCATGATCTGAGATAATCATTACCAAATTAAAAAATTCAGTATGTCACAATTATTTAATATTAATAATTTGAACGCGCTTATTGTCACAATGCTCCCACTCATTCTATTTCTGAATCAACAAATTTAATTAATGTAAGAGTTTACTACTTACCAAACACAACAACATTTTTACAACCATGTGATGCCTGGATAATTAACAACTTCAAGGTGAGCTACAAAAAATTTTTCTTGCAAAAAAATTAGTGATTATGAAGAAGAGAGAAATAAACGGTCAAGAATATGAAAAATTTCAATTAAACATGCAATTAAATTTACATCAAAAGTTTGGAAAAAAGTTACCAGTCAAACTATAGTTAACTGCTGGAAAAAACTGGTATTTTACCTGATTATGATATTAATTCCAACGAAATTGAAAATATGTCATCAATTTTAAATTCATTGAATGTAAGAGAGCTCAATGATTTGCAAAAATTGATTGATGAACTTACATTTCCTAATCCTATATCTGTGTCTGAATACATTGAAATTGATGACTCTCATGTAAGTGATGAATAAATCTAAATGACATAATTACAATAATTAATCCACCAGAAGAAAATGAAAGCCAGGAAGAAATAATTGAAGAACTTCCACCTGTTACAAATAAAGAAGCCTTGCCAGAAATAAAAACATTAGAAATTTACATTGACCAGCAATCAGAATTAAATGAGGATGATTTTAAATTATTGAAAAGTCTTAAAAGAAAAATTAAAAAAATTGATTTTAACCCACAACAATAATCCACACTAGATAACTTTTTTAATATTGAATAAATATGCAAATTATAAATAGTTTATTTTCATTTATTTCATTTATTTTTTAAATATTTTATCGTATAAAAAATATATTGTATCGCATTATAATTTATCAAATGACTATGATCAGCAAACTCTCTATAACGGCCTTTTTTTGCCAAATCAGGCAGGCCGTTATAGAGAGTGAACTGTAATATAATAAGTAGAATAAATACAAATTAATTAATTATCAATTAGCAATTGACAATCAGTACTTCATTGTAATTCATCTAATTTATCCAACAAATTCATACAATTCACTCAATTTATCACACTCATTAGTCCTATCAATTTCACTAATCTTTTCAATACCTTTTCCATTACCATCATCATTAGAATCTAATATTAATAAAATACCTTGTTAGCAATAAAATTAATGATTGATAATTTCTATTATATTATAATTTACCTTTATCAGAACCAATCACTCAAATTTTTTCAAATGATGATGTGGAGTTTTCAAATATTCTGTTTATGATATTGCCTAATTTTTTTGATCTGGCAGTGGCTTCAATGTTTTTTTCAGATATTTTGATTGTTTGTTTTATTTGTTCTATATCATCTTTATTTAATGGAAAATTATTTTTAACAATATCCGTTAAACGTTTTGACTTAACAATAGATTCATCTAATATTATGATTGATTGTTGTATTTGGTTTTTATCATATTCATTTAATGAATCATTAGCAATGACTTCACCTAACATACTGCTTAATTGTTGCATTAGTTTTTTAACATCATCTTCGTTTAATGAATGATTATGACTATTACTATCTTTTGGCATATATTTAGCAACGGCTTCATTTAATGAATTATTATGACTAGTGCTATCTTTAGCAACAGCTTCATTTAATGAATGATTATGACTATTACTATCTTTAGCAACAGCTTCATTTAATGAGTGATTAGGGCTATTACTATCTTCAGCAATAATAGCTTCATTTAATGAATGATTATGACTATTACTATCCTTTAGCATAAATGAGTTAAAGTACTCAAATGACATAGGTTCTAATATTCTGCTTATATGATGTGCTAATGGATGTGGTTTTTGTATTTGTAAACTATTATCTTTTGAATTACTTGTAAGCATTATAGTTTCAGTTTCTATTTTATTTAAATTATTTAAATGCTCCTTAAAAAAATAATAAAGTTCTCCAATAGTCGGTCTCTTGGCTGGATCCACATACCAACACCTTTTCATCATTTGTGCACAATCATCAGGTATTCCTGGTAATATTGGTGGTCGTAAACCTTTACATATCTCAATCATTAAATGGTGATTATGAGCTATATTGTTAAATGGTGGATAACCTGCAAATATTTCCCATATTAACATTCCAATGCTATAAACATCTGATTGTTTTGCATATTTTCTCTCTTTAAAAACTTCTGGTGCAATATATGACACGATCCCATAAATTTTGTTTGATGATTCATCATCAACTGGTCCACATAAACCTAAATCTGTAATATAACAACTATTACCGGCTTGTACCAATATATTACCACTATGTAAATCACAATGAATTAAATTTTTTTTATGTATTTCATACAATGATTGACATAAACTCCTAATTAATAACATTCTATCTTTTAATGTTAATTTTAAATTATTTTTCCATAAAAAATCTCTTAAATTTCCTAATGGTACATAAGTTAAAACCATTGCATAATTTCCTTCTGGGAATCTAGTTATACCATAACAAGGAATAACCAATTTTGATTTAATTATACAATAAACCAAAGCCTAAATTATTTATTTATATAAATATGGAATTAAATATTATTTTTTGAAAAATGATTTATTTCACTTTATATAATAATTATTACTGACCTCATCAAAAAATTTTTTTCCAATATCATTTGAATTTAATGATTTTAATACTACATCTTGACGTCCATAATAAGAGAGTTCTTTTTTATTTTCGTCATAATCAAAGATGCGTCCTTTTCTCCATGATGCAGTATAAATTTTACCAAATCCTCCTCTAGTTAAATATTTCACCCCTTCAAATTGATCAAAAGGTATCCATTCCATAATATTTGTTGGAAGAGATGAACGCTTTTGACATTCTTGAATAAAGTTATCAATAATTTTATTTCCAGATGTCCAAGTTTCAGAAAGCGACTGTAAATGTAAACAAATACATTTTTCACAAAATTTATCAGAATATCTTGTCATCTTACAATACTTGCATCCTGTTGGATTCCCAATTTTACGGCTTGCATTGACTAATTCATATTCGTAAATATATCTTTCTCTACAATATTTTTTTTCATTTTCTGAAAGTTCTTTATTTTCTTTTACTAATAATAAATATATATTCTTTTGAGATTCTCTGTCGTTTTCATTTAAACCTCTTTCATTATTAAAAGTATTTTGTAAAGATTTTTTTGCTAATGACAAATATTTATTCATTTGATGCTCATCCTTAATATTCAACATTTTGTTATATGTTAATTTTACAAATTCTTTTCTTTCCGGCGATAATAATGACAATAACTCTTGGTAAGACATTGGTTATTTTTTGAAACTTCAATATAAAATTGGTATTAGTAATTTGATTTTTTTTATTTAAATAATTTTTATTGTAATTTCTGTGTAACTCGCGATTATTATTTTTGTATTATATGATAAAAATCAATGTGTAATTCTTTTGTGGATTTCGACATTTTGCGGTAACATTTTTTCCCAATTCGCAATTTTGGAAAATGTTTGTTCTACGGGAAATGTTCTGTTGTGAATGTTATATTTGTTTAATATTGTGACTGTGACTGAGATTGTGACTCAATTGATATTAAGTGCAGATACGTAACGAATCCGAATCTTCTAAACATTTTAATTTTGTTTCTCAACTTAGTAAACCGAATTGTTGGAGAAGGATGAGATCAAAATCAAAAGGCGAAACTTTGTGATGAGTCTTTTTTTTTTTTTTTTTGCTGCGCTGGCTTGAAATGATTTCCAAATTTTGTTAAAGTTGAAATTTGAACAGAAATATTTTCGTTTTCTAAAAATGATGAGTGGTTATTTTTATCATCGCGAATCCCATTTTTGCTATATATCTAATTTATCATGTTTCGTGAAACCGAAATTTTTTGTTCAAAACGTCAGGTTGAGCGAAGCAGATACTTGACTGGAACGGAAGGAAATCGTGTTTCGCTTTAGATATTTTTTTGCGTAGTGTCTGCCGTTGTCTACCGCTAGGTTTCTGTCTTTCTCTGACGTTTTGAACTGTTCAAAATGACCAAAACTGATCTCCTTGTCTTGGAGCCTTTACCTCAGATCGTCAAAGACTTGTCGCACAACGTGTTGGTAGTACCAATGTTAACGTATTTTCTGGTCACGAGATCTGGATTCTAAGCATCTTTTTACTATTACGTTTTATTTTGTTGTCATTACTATTATTGTTATCATCGGTCAATTCAATGATCGATAAATATAACAACATGTACAAGTTTTTTTGATTGTTCGTGTTTAAAAAAATATATATATATTTGATTAGAACATTTGAGGAATAGTGGATGATCTGAATTCATTTTTTATTTCCTTTCGGAGATTTTTGATTTTGACCATTTGAAAGATGGTGGATGATCTGGATAAGAAAAAATTCATTTGGAATAATTAATCTTTTCAAATGATTTTTAATCAAGAAAAAAAAGTTTATTGACTTTTTAATAAAAAAATCTAATTGATACAGTTGACTTTAATCTGGGGTAAATAAACAAACACGAGAACATAAGGTTTTTAATTAAGAAAAAAAAAGAATTTTTTTTTAATAATTGAAATTTGTAAATAACTTTTGATGTTCTTCTTTGCAAAGGATTTTTTTTTTTTATCAAAAATAACAAAAAAGCAGTTGATGATAATCTGGATAATGTTGAATGTCCAAAACCAATCTAATCTGCACTGCTAATGAATCAGCAACAGATGATGCAGCAACAATGGAAATTTTATTAGAACATGCAAAAAAACCATTGTTTAAATGCCAAGCTTGAGCCTCTTTTAAAATTAACTTGCCAGCTTGAATGAGCCCAGGCTAATACTTGAACTTGACTATGACTAAATTGTTAAATTTAGAAATGATCATCCAATTAATTTTTAGTAAAATTTTATAGTTGGTTGGCACAGTTATACATGAACTTGAAATAGGTAGGGAGAGATTCAGTATGGTATAACCCTTGCAGAACGTATGGTATAGCCTATATTTTTCCATCCCAAGTCACACAAAATTTTATTCTAAATCCTTTTTTGGCGGGTGTGAAGGGAAGCATGTATTGGTATACAACACTTATACAATACCATACCATACATTCTGCAAGAGTTATGCCATACTGAATGTCCCTATACTTACTTGAAATTAAAACCCCAAAGTCAAAATGTTTCAACCTGAGGCAACTACATAGTAAAAATCAGTTTTGACCCTATTTTGACCAGATCTGCAAATGGTCAAAATAGTTTCAACTTCATGTATAGGCTCTGTCTAAAGACCACCTAAATTTTGCATAAATTTTAAAAGTATAAAAGTCACTTTCTGTCCTACCTTTTAAAAAAATAGCAGTATTAATTGATAGAATAGGACTTTAGTTTTAATGTAATAATGAGATTTTCTAAAAATTATTTGTTATAGAGTTTAGTACATATTTTACTATGTTTGTGAGGAATTTAGCCACTAGACCATTACTAAAATATCTGGTATAAAAAAATTATCTTTATTGTTCATTTTTTATAATTTAGAAGGAAAAGGACATTCTCACTTGTGAACTAAAAAATTACATGCCAAAAATCGCATGCACATGTAGCATCTCTAGTTACATGGGACATGTAATTAAAGAGTGAGATTTATTATATGATGGCATATAATAAAAATAAGAGGGATATGACTTTATCAATTATCAAATAGGATTTTAATATAACTGGCATTGGTTCCTGAAAAAAATATAAATTTATCAAGTATGAATTAATAAGCTATGACTGTATATATTTTTGCATAGTTGATAAACTTAGGATGTCAGAGATTTTGGGTCAAATGTAAATTGAAAAACCAAACCAAACCAAACTGTTTGGAATTTTTAATTATAAAATTTTAAAATGATCAAAAAAAAGAATAATGAAAAATAAACAATATATGAGATATATATATAATAATAATATATGGGATGTCTGCCAGCAATATGGGGTCTGAGACTCCTGGCCAAAATTGAGATTTTTGCATAATGTATATCTATATCATAAGGATTATAGTTGGTGAAAAATTTAGACAATCTAATAGTCTCAGACCCCCTTTTTGCTGTTGGACATCTCATATAACAACAAGAATAATAATAAATCATCTTTCTAATACTATCCACCACTACCACTATTGCCATCATCACCACCTATTACCTTAAAGCTTATTTAACCCATAGATTTTGAGATAAATATATACTGCTGAAATAATTCTGTTGATGAAATATATGATGATCCAGCTTGCTTTATTGATACATTTAGTAGATGGCTTGTATAAACTAATTCTGGATGATGCTTGTAATTCTTTGTGTCTGACAAATCTTTTTCTAAATTGATAATTTCTTGTTGTTTAGCTTCTGCTAATTCAATAGCCTCTTCCTTCTGACATTTTTGTAAACAGTGATGAGCCGTAGGTCGATTTTCTGGATCATGATTCCAACATTTTTTCATCAACTCAGCATAGAATTCAGGGGTATCATTGGTGATTTGAGGTCTTTCTCCTTTTAGAATATTTGATAAAAGACAATGATTATGTAGCCTATCATAGTATGGTTTCTTTCCTGTAGTGAGCTCCCACATTATCACACCAAAACTGTAAATGTCTGATTTTTTAGTATATGGTTTTCTTAATGCTACCTCAGGTGCTAGGTATAGAAAATTTTTATTTGGTTCATCATTTTCATTTATTATTTGTTGACATGATCCTAAATCTCCTATTGCACATACATCATGGCTGTATGAAAAAATGTTACCACTGCACAAGCCATGATGAATGT